ATAATTTTTCAATACGCGTGTTTGAAACGGTCCAATGGGTTTTCACCTGGGCGTCCCGTCTTCATTCTCTACATTCACAAAACAGTAATTTTTCCTTGGGAATTCAATTTTAAAGGGTAATCATCGCACACTTATGCCTATTTATAGACGTCAATAACTAATCGTCCTCTCCTCTTCCCCTGGCAAAAAAATTAAAAAATTGCAGTCGTTCGCCTTTGTCCATGTGGTTTCTTTAAGCCAAAGTTATGGAACTTAAATCACGCACCATGCACCAAAGTAATGTGTACGGCCATGAAACATTATTTAGAGTATTATTATGAACTTATTACCTACTTTTTTTTATTTTTATTTTTTTTAATTTTAGCGCTAAATTTCTGACTAAGATTGTTTTTTCTATGAGTATTAGTGACGTACATTTTTTTTCTTGATTTGCCACCGATTTTTGATGTAATGCCGGATAGAAGTAATCGTTTCTCTTCTTGTCAAGTGAAAAAAAAACCGAACAGTTTCATACACCAGTATATTTGGCAGATTCAAAGCCTATACTTTTTAACCAAAAAAACTTCGTCATCAGGCAGATCTCAAACATTTTTAGGAATGCCATTTGTCATAGCTGGATTAAAAAATTCATAGCTGGATTAAAAACTTCCTCCCATATCGTACCAATTTTTCAGAGACTTGAATTTTTGCCAGAAAAGTAAAATTTTAGGTAAAAATTCTAATTTCTTAGAAAAACTCAAACTCCTCAAGAGGACCAATGGTTTTCCTCGAAATTAACGCCAAGGCAAAACCACCACGAAACACACTCCTTTCTAATATTGGAGGTTAAAATTTTAAACCGCCCGACGCGTCCGTCGAATGAAAACAGGGGAATCGACGGTAGCACAGAGCTTAGCCGCGCGCGGAGGAGTCGACCTCCCCTGCTAAAGGGCGCACCGCCGTTTGCACGTGAGCCCTGTAAAGCAAAGATTTAAACGGACGACGAGGCTCATGCCAAAATCGACATACGCGGTATCGCCGGAAAATGTAATGAAGCATCCCGAGATGAAATTACCGAGTCAATACGATCGCTGGACGTTTAAGCACGGCTCTCCGTCTCGTATCGTTTTACGGCCCGGCCCCGGCGTG